AAGTTGAGTAGTGGTTTTTGTTGTACTAGTACTAATTGTGGAGCTCTCTGTGGAAGAGATGGAGGTCTGTGTGCTCTTCGGGGCAGATGTGGTAGTTTGTGATGTAGTGGATTCATTCAAGGTGGCAGCTGGTATCTCTGTGGAGACTGCTGTGCTCTCTGAAACAGAACTTGTGGTTTCTGTAGTAGGAGCAGTCATCATGCTACTCTTTCCAGCAGTTGTAGTGCTTTCTGGAGGAGAGGAAGCTGTTTCTGATGTGGTGGATTCAGACATGCTGGTCCCTGGCAAAGGTGTGGAATATGCTGGCCTCTCCAAAATGGAACCTGTACTTTCAGTACTAGCAGAAGTAATTGTGCTACTCTTTTCTGAAATTGTTGTATGTAGTGTTCTCTCCAGAGGAGAGATGGACGTTTGCTCGGAGGTAGAAAGAAGTCCGGAACTGGTTGTGGGAGTGGTAGATGGCACACTACTTGATAAAGCAGAAGCGGTGGTCCTTGCCAAACTGGATGGCGTCATGCTACTCTCTGAAAAAGATGTAGAGGATACTGTGCTCTTTAGAGCTGGGGTTGTGGTTATGGAAATAGAAGATGTTATTCTCTTTGCTGATGCCGTAGAAGACACTGTACTCATTGGAGAGCTGGCTGATTCTGATGGGATGGATGCAGGTGTGGTGGCTTCTGGAGAAGTAGCTGTGATGACTGAATGTTCAGCAGTGGTTTCTGAAGAGATAGTAGTCTTTATAGAGCTGGAGGTCACTGTGCTCTGTGGGGGAGAAGTGGCTGTTGCTGTTGTTATGGTTTCCAATGTGGTGGTTTGTGGAGAAGTAGTTAAGTATTCCCTAGTCGTTGGAAGTTGAATAGTGGTTTTTGTTGTACTAGTACTAATTGTGGAGCTCTCTGTGGAAGAGATGGAGGTCTGTGTGCTCTTCGGGGCAGATGTGGTAGTTTGTGATGTAGTGGATTCATTCAAGGTGGCAGCTGGTATCTCTGTGGAGACTGCTGTGCTCTCTGAAACAGAACTTGTGGTTTCTGTAGTAGGAGCAGTCATCATGCTACTTTTTCCAGCAGTTGTAGTGCTTTCTGGAGGAGAGGTAGCTGTTTCTGATGTGGTGGATTCAGACATGCTGGTCCCTGGCAAAGGTGTGGAATATGCTGGCCTCTCCGAAATGGAACCTGTACTTTCAGTACTAGCAGAAGTAATTGTGCTACTCTTTTCTGAAATTGTTGTATGTAGTGTTCTCTCCAGAGGAGAGATGGACGTTTGCTCGGAGGTAGAAAGAAGTCCGGAACTGGTTGTGGGAGTGGTAGATGGCACACTACTTGATAAAGCAGAAGTGGTGGTCCTTGCCAAACTGGATGGCGTCATGCTACTCTCTGAAAAAGATGTAGAGGATACTGTGCTCTTTAGAGCTGGGGTTGTGGTTATGGAAATAGAAGATGTTATTCTCTTTGCTGATGCCGTAGAAGACACTGTACTCATTGGAGAGCTGGCTGCTTCTGATGAGATGGATGCAGGTGTGGTGGCTTCTGGAGAAGTAGCTGTGATGATTGAATGTTGAGCAGTGGTTTCTGAAGAGCTAGTAGTCTTTGTAGAGCTGGAGGTCACTGTGCTCTGTGGGGGAGAAGTGGCTGTTGCTGTTGTTATGGTTTCCACTGTGGTGGTTTGTGGAGAAGTAGTTAAGTATTCCCTAGTCATTGGAAGTTGAGTAGTGGTTTTTGTTGTACTAGTCCTAATTGTGGAGCTCTCAGGGAAGGAGCTGGGGGGCTGTGTGCTCTTTTGGGAAGATGTGGCAGTTTGTGATGTGGTGGATTCATTCAATTTGGTTGCTGGTAATGCTGTGGAGACTGCTGTGCTTTCTGGAATAGAACTTGTGGTTTCTGTACTGGGAGCAGTTGTCATGCTACTCGTTCCAGCAGCTGTAGTGCTTTCTGGTGCAGAGGAAGCTGTTTCTGATGTGATGAATTCAGACATGGTGGTCCCTGGCAAAGGTGTGGAATATGCTGGCCTCTCCGAAATGGAACCTGTACTTTCAGTAATAGCAGAAGTAATTGTGCTGCTCTTTTCTGAAATTGTTGTATGTAGTGTTCTCTCCAAAGGAGAGATGTATGTTTGCTCGGGGGTAGAAAGAACTCTGGAACTGGTTGTGGGAGTGGTAGATGGCACACTACTTGATAAAGCAGAAGCGGTGGTCCTTGACAAACTGGATGGCGTCGTGCTACTCTCTGAAAAAGATGAAGAGGATACTGTGCTCTTTAGAGCTGGGGTTGTGGTTTTGGAAATAGAAGATGTTATTCTCTTTGCTGATGCCGTAGAAGACACTGTACTCATTGGAGAGCTGGCTGCTTCTGATGTGATGGATGCAGGTGTGGTGGCTTCTGGAGAAGTAGCTGTGGTGATTGAATGTTGAGCAGTGGTTTCTGAAGAGCTAGTAGTCTTTGTAGAGCTGGAGGTCACTGTGCTCTGTGGGGAAGAAGTGGCTGCCACTGTGGTTTCCAATGTGGTGGTTTGTGGAGAAGTAGTTAAGTATTCCCTGGTCGTTGGAAGTTGAGTAGTGGTTTTTGTTTTACTAGTACTAATTGTGGAGCTTTCTGTGGAAGAGATGGAGGTCTGTGTGCTCTTCGGGGCAGATGTGGTAGTTCGTGATGTAGTGGATTCATTCAAGGTGGCAGCTGGCATCTCTGTGGAGACTGCTGTGCTCTCTGAAACAGAACTTGTGGTTTCTGTAGTAGAAGCAGTCATCATGCTACTCTTTCCTGAAGGTATAATGCTCTCTGGAGGAGACGTAAGTTGTTTTGATGTGATCGATTGAGACATCATGGTCTCTGGAAAACTTGTGGAGTATCCTATGCTCTTTGGGGGAAAAGTGGCTGTTGCTTTTGTTGTGGTTTCTAACATGGTGGTTTCTGAACTAATAATAGCCATTGTAGAGCTGGCTTTTAAAGATGTGGACTGCACTCTTCTCTCTGTAGGAGATGTGGCTGTTTCTGATTTGGTGTATACACTAGTTGTTGACATATTCTCTTTGCTTGTAGTGGTGGAGGGTGTTCCATTTGTACTTTTTCCCTTTGCTGTTCCCGTTGGTGCTGAAAGGATATAAATAATTGGAGTTAAATTAAGGTAGTATGTAGGACAGAACAAAGGTTATAAACTGCAATTTGTTAATAGAACATAAGATATAGTAAAGTTTTCATTCTTTTTGTTTGCATGAATGTTTCTTTACTTGTACAATTTGATGCCTTTTACCATGCAGGTCAGTTTTGTAAGTACCAAATTGCTTCCTTCATCAATTTGATTAAATATATTAATCTCCTCTGTATTTGTTTGGGGCATTTGTCGGTCTTTCCCTGTCTTTTTTTCCTTAGGTACTGATTTTCATGGGTTTAGGCAAAGATATTCAACTATACTTAAAATCGAATATGTTTATTTAGTGGTTGTATGTTTCACCTTTCATTCAAATAGCCCTCCTTCTTCCTATTTTTCACATAAAACTCTATTTGTTATGTTTGAGTGAGGGAGAAGGATTGGCCTAAATTCACCAGAAAGCTTCTTTGTCTCAGAGGATTAAGCATTGTACCACATTGTCTCTGAATTTCACCAGAGATGTTAGAAACTGAGTGTCAACGCTGTTAATATAGGATATTATTGCTTTGACAAAATATACAGAACTGTCTGGTATTTTTAGAGTTAATTCAGATGACAGAGAAAGGGAGGAGATTTATAAGGAAAGCCCAGGAAAAGGAACGGAAGTGAATCTTTGCCCTCCAGGCTAATTGGAAGATGTAACTTATGACTGCAAAATAAGGGAGGGGTTTAGCACGAAAAGTTAGACGCAAGCAAGAGAAATTCAGATTCTGGCACCCATCCATGAGGTGCCGTCAATCTGTTACGCTGTTAATAAAGGCTTTTAGGGTAAACAATGCCTGGAGGTTCTTTGAAGTGTTTCATTAGTCGGAACCATGACATTGAGAACTTCTGGGTGCAGTGATGTGGTCTATCATTGAGCTAAGGCCTTTTTGCTACAGATAGTCTTCGTTTTATAACCTCAGTTGGGACCAGTAATTCAATCATTAAGTGAAGCAGCCACTAGGTGAAACCCTGATGATCTTCAACCTTTCCTTGATTTATAGACCTGTGAAGGTTGTAAATGCAAGGATTACTTGCAAAATTACTTTTTCATCCCATCAAAACTACAATGGTTCCTAAATAAGGCAGTTACTAAACAAGGATTGCCCTTATAAAAGTCCTAAATAAAGGGCAAAACCCCACAATCACCTTACAATATATTTCTTCAGTTCTTTGCTCAGTAGAAAAGTACACCAGCATAAATTACATTGCCTGATGGATGAGCCCAGTTCTTTCTTAGCAGCAGGGCTGGGAAGGGGTACTGCCCTTACAATTCTAATTCAGGACAAATTAAGGGCCTCAAATAGTGAATTCCTTTGAATATGTTTCCTTTCCCTCCCCTCTCAGCAACACTGGAATTGAGTGACTTGGGGATGGGGTACTGGGATGGGAGATTCAGCCACCTTTCAAATTGCCCAAGTATGTCCCTCCTGTTTCAACCAATACCTCCTCTCCACACTCACTAGCATGTCCATTGATTACTTTGGGATACAGGTATTAGTCCTTCAAGGTTGGTCAGGTCAGGAAATCAGACTACTGGACTCTGCTTTATTATTATTGGGTATACTGGCAAGTTTCCTCTGTCATTTCTTGTAACATGGCATTACTTTAAATCTTTTTTTAGGCTCTCTTCTTTCCCAGAACTGAAATTTGGGGGGGGGGATGTTGTGCCTTTGAGTCATTATTGATTTCTGGTGACCGCCTGAACCAGTTCCTGTAGGCTTCTTGGCACTACTGTATTTTCAGAAATGGTTTGTCCTTGCCTTTTTCTTTCTAGGGCTAAGAGAGAGAGGCCGGCCCAAACTCACCCAGCTGCCTGCATGCCTAAGACAGGATTAGAACCCAGGATCCTGGAAATTGCTCCTAGCTTGTTGCCTTAACCACTACACCAATCTGGTTCTTGAGATTTCATTTAATGTCTCTTTTATCAGTTAAACGTTATGGGTTTTGCCCATGGTTTCTGCCTCCCTCTACACCAGATTCGGCATTCTTCCAAAAGAGTTCATAAATAACACATGTTTCAGGTCCCTTTGCCATATAACTGTGCTTGTGACCTGGGACAGAACTCTTGTAACTTTTATCCCTGCTCCCAATTATCTTACATAGATAGATGTTCAGACAAATATCAGTGCTGGCAGTGAATGGTCATGGCTAGCCGTATTCTGTGGGTAGGTGAAATAATATCTCCCCCCCTCTGCTCCAATTAAAGCAAAAACAGAAATAAAACAAATAAATCTACAATATAGACTAGTGCTCTCTCTAGTCTAGGGAGTGGTGAATACTACTTGTGTTTTCTTACAGAAAGGTCTACTATCCTTCCTTGTTTTTTTAAAAACAAGGCTAGTATTCTTTGAAAGGCAAGCTAATCTGGAAATGTCAGGCTGGCATTTTCCAAAGCACGGGGTCAGGCATTACACAGGTTGATGTCACTGTGGAAGCCAGGTATTTGGTTTGTCCTGCAGTTGAAGCCAAAAGGGCCAGGGAGGGCAGTTGCCAGTGGCCTAGGAAAGATGACATGCCCACATCATCCTCACATGAGCAGTAGGTGCTGCCCAGATTACCTGAATAGGTTATCACCAACTTTATCAATGAATCACTATAAATTGTTCATATATTGAGAGTGGTGTTGGAAGAAGAGGAGAGACACTACTTTAAAACTGCTTCTAAAGATGAATTAATCTGCCTCTGCAGCAGGTGAAGATGAAATGCTAAGATGAAAACAATATTTGAGCTGCCCAGAGTCATTTGTGGAGATGGGCAGCTATAGAAATCAAACAACAAACAAATAAAATGTCATGGAGACATAACCTTGTAAGATAATGAAGGGAGCATAGTTGTTCTATGGGAGACTGAGTCTTCGCTCACATTATTTGCTTGTCACTATTGGTGGCACACAACAATGTCTTTTCCAATCTGATGCATTGAATTCTACAATTAGTGGGAAAGTAGTAGATAACCCTTTGACTGCTTACATGCCCTGTGAGCTATATCACTGAGATATAAGGGCTCTGGATAAAGATTTATCTCAACTTAAATCATTGCTCCAAACAGTCCACTGCTTTCTGTTCCAGGGTATGGATGCCAATCTATCTGCAGCTCCCCTAAGTGGTATCTGCTGAACTTCCATATTACTTAGTTATAATTTAATTTAATAATTTGAGCATGACCATGAGATCAGCAGAACTTGTAAGGTTTTGAAGATCTCACACAAGAACCCATGAGATAGCAAAGCAAAGTCTCGTTGTTACAAGAGATTATGTGAAAATTCAGCATTCTCACATGAAAGCGTGGTGCAAATTGCAATGACATGAAAGTGGTGTAACATATGCCAACATGCCACAATGCAAACTTCACCCTTTTGGGACACAAATGCTTAAGTCGCAGAATTTGTTTGTATTTTCACGATCCATATTTTGTTTTGCCTCTTTTCTCCTCTCATGGATGCCTACATATGAGAAGAAAAACCTGGCAATCTCTCAAGACTCAGGGCATTTTAAAAACATTTATTCTTATTTTCAGTGGGAAGCTTCCTAGTGCATAAAAGGTTACTTTCTCCTGCTTTGCAGGAAAGCAGAGAAGGGTGTGTTTCATCATGCATTGTTTGATTATTTAAAATTGGGATTTTCTGCCTGCCAAACCTGTCCCTACCCTGAGCCATAAAACCTACTCTAAACACAATATCTTGCATTCACATTCTATGCTTAACCTGTTTTTTGCATTGTTTAATTTTCTGGTTTCACACACCCCTGAACCATAAATATTAAAGTGTCTAAGCTTACATGCCACACTATACCATATACATGTACATATTCATACACATATACTGTACATACATACACACATACACACATAAATACAAAATAGCACAGTATGGTTAAGTTATGTGATATAAATAAAGCTGTACGGTACATTTATGTTAGGCTTGCTCCATCTCACTGGGAGGTCGCCAATCTTCTTCAGACAGGGAGCCATATTTGGGCTTTTGACAGCGAAGTTTGAAAGAGCAAAATTGATATCCTTAAATGAGGAAAAGTTGCCCTGATTATGTGGGGAGGGTGATTAATGAGTGCCATCTAGCCACCGCACAGATGGACTACTGCAATGTACTATGAAGGGAGCTGCTATCTTAAAGACCAGTGAGAAGCTAAACCTGGTCTAGAATGCATTGATGTGGGCACTTATGAGCAGGCTGTGATATGTCTATGTGTCATGCTGCCATTATTGATCAGTGAATCACTGCAGTTGTTGAGTGAATCATTTGATTGTTAAGAGAATCCAACTTCCCCCATTGATTTTGCTCGTCAGAAGCCAGCTGAGAAGATTGCAAATGGTGATCACGTGACCCTGGGACACTGCAGTCATTGTACGTGTGAACTAAATGTGAAGTAGCAGAAATTTGATCATGTGACCGTGGGGATGCTGCAACAGTTGTGAGAGGACTGGTCATAAGTCCCTTTTTCAGTGCTGTTGCAACTTTGAATGGCTGCTAAACAAATCGTTGTAAGCCAAGAACTGCCTGTATAATAAGTCTGGGCATAGTTTGCTTAGGGCAGACGCCATTAGATCACTGGATTAGCACAATTTAGAAAGGATTCTTGGATGAAATTTTTTTAGAGCCTAATCCAATCCTCAATCGGATATTTAACTAATCATTTGAATCCTCTTCTCCCGTATTGATGGCTTCCTTTTGTTTGATCACATTCTGTCCTATAATATTAGCTGCAGGACATGGAGATTATCCCTATAACAAAGTGTCATTTCTTTCTTAATCCTGCAGCATGGCAGTAAAAAAAAAGGGGGGGTTCATCCTGAATTCCCCTTTTCCCCCTTGGTAAAAAAAAATATCATTTCACTTCTGTCATCCAGAGATGGATGTCGGCTTTGGTTTCTCTCATTTTCCAAAAAGTTTTGTATAGATTGTGATGTGAAACGGGACATTCCCATGGGACTATCCCATCAG